ACACTGTGTTACATTATGGTTTGGTAAGTTACAACAAGAACAATTTTCTTTGTTGCTTTTCTTTTGAAATTCTTTTCTCAAAGGTTTGTTTTCCTGTGGAAAAGAGGAAATGGAGCTGAGTCTTTGCTCTAAGAACTTCATGACATCAGAAAGAGCCTGAATTTCCTTTGTTTTTTTTACATGACTCTCATATAAATTAAGAGAATCTTTGTTAAACTTCCGAAGTATAATTTCAAGTGAAACCAGAAAGGAAGTTAACTTAGGCTTGCCGAATACCCTTGCAGTTATAATTATGAAACATAAAAATACAAAAAAGGAAATTCCCAATAGTATAAGGTAATATGTCAAACAACACCGAAGCTATAATTTGTTTTATATTGTTTATACTTTATGGGGTCGGAAACGTCTCCTTCATTACGTTGCAAACTTCTAACTGAAATCAATATACCCTCTGCAAGGGTATGAAAACATCGCAATATAAATTACTAAAGGATTTCTCGAGATACTTCCTTAAATGCCCAACATTGTTTTCAAAAACATTCTTTAACTTAGCAGCCCTCGAAGTGATTTTAATTTCGCATATTTATTTTTTGGTCAGCTTGGATCGTAACCTAATGATGTTTTCATTTTTTCATACTAATATGTTGTAGTATGCACATATAGAGAACCCACTGTACTCAGCCTTATGTTCAGATTTCGTATAAATCTAAACACAAGAAGGCAACGACACTTAGTCTTTGTGGTGAAAACTTATAAAGGGCAGCTCAAGTGCCCAGCAATATGATCACCTGCGCGAACGCTTTGACTTCAATCAAGCCCAGCCAGCATGAGTCCAATGCATTGATCGCTTGCATACAGTATATATTACGCTCCGTCTCAGCAGCGACGTTTTCGCCGCTTACACATAAGCTACATATGTTAGTTTTATATATTATATATACAACAAATTATATACTAAAGGTAGCGCTGCCACTGAGAATCGCGCAACTTTAGGTGTACTTATACTTAAGACCCGTTTTGCAAAATTAGATAAGCAAAGGAATCGAAAACGACAACTACAGTTGCTCTCCGCCAACAAAACTAAAGCTTTGAACTTTCATTTTATATCAGAGCAACTTAAACAGTTTTTCCATTGATTTCCGCGTTGGACTTTCGAGGACTTGTGGTTCTTGCGTGGAAACTTTAACGACCCGATACTCAGACGAACGATTTTCAGAATGCTGGTAGGGGAAGAAAGAAACTTTTGATTTTTCCTATAGAAAGCTACAATTTGTGCCTCAATAAACCCCTGAAACCAAACTGCAGATATTTTGGAATTTATACAAGAATTTAAATTTCTTACGTTCGTAGGATATCTTCCTTTAAAATATCTGATCCGCCTGAAGTATTTAATATACTTAATTCTAAACGTTTTCGGCTTAATGATGAATTGGTCATTAAAGAATTTGTTCCCAACAGATGGAGAACTAATAATAGGCCTTCCACGGTAGTAACCTGAGCAGTTTGTTTTTGGCTGATCAAAATTTAAGGGGACTTAATATAAAGCTAACTAAGCTTTTTGCTGGCAAATCTGCCGAAAATATCTGACTCAAAAAGTCTGCCAAACAAAATTGAATATAGAACCGATCGCTACCCGTAGAAGGGGGTCTGTCTGTGTGCTGATTGCCGTTACCTCTAGACTGACATCGGAGAGAATATACTCTCATATCCCTTACGTCATTGAATTTATTAGTGTAAAACAGTGGTCGGCACACACATACCATCACAAGTTTGCCTTGCATTAGTGTGAGTGTAACAAACACGAAGTTTGCGCGCGGCGTGCTGAAGCGAGACGTTTCTCTTCTTTGCACTGAGATCCTCTGCCGCAGCAACAAAAAAGCGCGCCGAAGTTGAGAAAAAAATGACCCGAAGACCCATGCCGAAGTCACACGAACATGTACGTTATACGTGAGCGAGCAGAGGATGGACAGAACACTTCCCTATGCTCACTAGATAGGCCGCTGCCGACCACTGGTGTAAAAGTTTCCTTGCAATCCTTATATATATTTGTAATATGCTCTTTTTTTATCTGTATCTGATTTAATATTTTTTTGAGCACCATTTGTCTGCAATAAAAACCGTTCCATAACGTCCTTCCGTCTTTTTTGATTTGTATACCCTTGATTTCAGTCATATGTTGTGAAGGTGACATTTCTGATTCCATATACAAGGGTGGTCAAAAGTATTTTCACAAAAAAAAAGTTAAATATATTCATAATTTGAACTTACATCTTGTTAACTTTGGCATCAATGGAAAGGTAATTTAAATGCCGTTTGAATGGTACAATACATTTCTTAACACATTCAGTACTTATTGAAAAGGACGAATTTGTGTGAAAATGTCCTTTTTGAACTTTTTTCCTCGACTTGAAAACTTAAATTTTTTGATGCAAAAAGTTTCTTCAAACAAAAATAATAGTAACTGCAAAAAGAATTTTTCAAAAATCATTTTGCTTAATGTCCGCTTTTACGAAAACTAGGGTCTCAGTTTTTAAGCTATCGGAATAAAACCACTTAACAAGTTTTTTTTCTCTATTGCAGGTAGTATATAAATCGGAATTTATAGCTTCCATATGAATAACAGAACAAAGGAAAAACTATTTAAAATTTAAGCTTTGGTGTTTTTTGTATACCCTTGCAGAGGGTATAATGATTTCAGTCAGTCAACGCAGTGAAGGAGACGTTTCCGACCCCATAAGGTATATATATTCTTGATCAGCATGACTAGAAGAGTCGATCTAGCCATGTCCGTCTGTTTCTACGCAAACTAGTCTCTCAGTTTTAAAGATATCGGGCTGAAACTTTCCCAAAAGTCTTATTTCTTTTAGAGGAACCAGCCAGACCGGACAACTATATTTTATCGCTCCCATAGGAATAATCGGAAAAAAATGTAAAAAATTATATCTTTGTTGTTTTTTAACATATAACCTCCTACGCTTGGAAATACCATTTTTTTATTAGTTCAGAATTTCGAATTTATTTTTATCAAAATCGGACGACTATATCATATAGCTGCCATAGAAACGACCGGGATTTCGAAAATTTTTGAAAAATGTCAAAATGGCGTACTTTGGGAAGAAACAGTTCGTTTTTCACTTTTTTTAGAAGATATTAAAGTGTGAAAAACAATTTGAAAAAAAATTTATAAGAAACCCCAACGTCAGTACCTCGGCAACTTGATTACGAATAACGGAGTATTTTCGTTTCTTGTTTTAGACGACTTATGTGTGGTGTATCCTGCACACCGTTTAGGTCCGTAAATTTGGGAAAGTCTCGTTCCAGCTTCGGTCACTAGTACACTTTCTTGGTAAAACTGTTGTATATAAAAAAATATATAAACTGAAATAATAAACTAACAAAATACAAAAATAATTATTCAAAAACCTTGAATAGTTTACTTACACGAAATATCAGAAAAAGCGCTTGAAAATCGACATTCACACAGGTGAACCCCCTTAATGTAGAAATAATAAAAAAATCGGTATTTTGAAATAAAACATTATCTTAATGTATCTGTAGTTATTTTTTAATTTTCTAAAAATTGGAAAACTCTGAATGTACATTGTGTACGATTATGTATGTATTTAACGGATGTAATTTTGAATGCTAAAAGGATTCGAGGCAGTTTTATGACTTTGATAATGCTAAGCGAAAGTCATCATTATTGCATTTAACAGTAAGTTTAAACTTAATTGAGGCATCTACGGATTTTGGCTGAGTTCGTCCAAACTTCTTATAGTACGCTTTCTTGGTCAATTTTTAAATACCCTAATCACTTAAATAGGTCAAATTCTCTATCTTTTAAGTGATTTAGCAACTGCAACTCCCTGGTTGTGTGCTCAAGTTTTGTCCCTCCACTTTTAACTTAACTTAACTTAACTTAACTTCAACTTTTTCACTTCTCGATTTCATCATCAGTTTTTCCCAATATCTGGAAAGATACTTGTACCCGTTACTCGTAGAATAAAAGGGTATACTATATTCGACGGAAAATATGCAACAGGTAAAAGGAAGCGTTTCCGACCCCATAAAGTATATATATTCTTGATCAGGATCACTAGCCGAGTCAATCTATCCATGTTCGTGTGTCCGTCTGTCTGTCCGTCTGGATGAACGCAAAGATCTCGGAAACTACAAAAGCTAGAAAGTTGGGACTTGGTATGTTGATTCCTGACCTTCTTGCGCAGCGCAAGTGCCACGCCCACTCTAACGCCCACAAATCGCACAAGTCTGAGGTAGCTACAGTTTTTATGCTAGAAAAAAATTGTTAACTGAAATGTATTGGTCTCGTCAATACCTATCGATTGACCTAAAAATAAGTTTGCTACGCCCACTCCAACGCCCACAAACCGCCCAAACTTGTGGCGCCCAAAATGTTCATGTCTAAAGACAAATTTTAACTGAAATGTATTGGTCTCGTCAATACCTATCGATTGACCCAAAACAACGCCCACAAACCGCCAACATGTGGCGCCCACAATTTTCATACTAGAAAAATTTTTTTATTTCTTTTTAGTCTTGTCAATACCTATCGATTGACCCAAAAAAAAGTTCGCCACAACCTCTCTAACGCCCATAACGCTTAAATCTGTATGCCGCCCACATATCCATATATTGAGATAGCGGGTAGGTGGCGCTTTGCTGCTTGCATATCACCATCTCCCTTTGGTCTATTTAGGTGAGTAACGGGGTCGAAGTCGAGGTACTCGACGATAGCGTTCTTTCTTGTTTTAATATTCTACTCCAAAAAAGGGTATTTTTAAATTTTCTGTCATTCCTAAAACATTTGAACGCTTTATTACTTCTCATTTGGAACATTTGTGCTAAGGGAGTTAAAGTTTTAAGAGAGAGTTAAAGTTTCAAAACGCTGTTTCCAAAATTATCTACGTGAATTTGATGACCCATATACTACCAAATTATTATTTACCTCCCCCTGTCCGTCTTAATTTAGAATATTGTTCTTCGATTTTTATTTATTTATTTTATTAAAATATCTGCCACCATAAACATAGTACCCGTTTCACATTCAAGTTTACAGAGTATTCAGTGAATATCAAAAAATAGAGTTCATTATATCGCGAACATAAAACGCGAAATGGATCATGCAACTCAAAATAAGTTCTACACATTTCTAGGGCAATAGGTCGAAAGTCACGATTTGACCTTACAAGAATGGAGAACTGTATTTGACCAAGAAGGTAGCTTGAATTGACAAGTCCAGTGATTTATTTGTGAACTAGTATAATCTGCGAATAAATAATGGAAAAATCCTAGTAAAAAACTTTTTTGGAAAGTTTAAGTTAAGTGTAAACATCAATATTAAAAAAAATTGGCAAAAGTTAAAAGGTGTTATAGCTAACCTGGTGCATATAAAAATAATATAACACTATGATATTTTTTCTTTTTAATTTAAAACGGAATACCAATATATTTTTTTTGCAAGCGCTGAGGGTTAAGCGGTGTTACTGCATAAATCACTTAAGCTCTATATTGTGTAAAATTAACATTGGGCGCTCCCCGATTTCTGTGGCACTTCCGATACTTTCTTTGGCAATATAGCTTAGATTGTGTTCCGCTTAGGTTGAGTCCTTACAAAAGATTCAAGTTCAAGGCTACTAAGATATTTTACATCACAACTACAGTATTTTTCTGTGGCAAAAGCGTAGGTTTAAACGTGGTTTTAGGCATACATTCAGTACAGAACTTTACTATTGGCACACTTAGTATCTTGAATTTGAAATACGCTTTCCTTTTTTTAATACAAGTATTATACACTCAACAATATTTATTTGGATAAAGAGAAAATTTAACTGACAAATTAATTTTATTTTATTTATTTAATTCTAAAACCAAAACAAAATTTTAACAACAATTTCGTTAAAACTTTTTTGATTTGGTTGCGTTTTTTTATAAATCCGCTTTGTATCTATATTCTATATGGTATATTGTTAAATTAGAATCATACCGTGTGCCACAGAAAGCGATAATCTGTGGTACATCTTAAAATATCATTTTTGTAGTTTAAGTTTTATGTATAATGGTAATATTTTTAAAACCAATAAAAGTTCTGTTATTTCTGCGAAAATTAATATATAATTTGCAGGTATACTAACATTAGGGAACGGTTGCCCGGATGCCGTTATTAACGTTCAGGGCCATTTATGACGTTTCAAAAGATTATGACCATACAAAAAAATAGACAAATACGAAGCTTTAAGTGTTCTGGGAGGCGAAAAGATCACAAAAAAGGATGCATAGATTTAAATTTAAGAGAGAAAGGACATTGACAAGGATATTGACGGAAAAGTTTTCCGAAAAATCATTCTTGTTTTAAATACAAGAACTTTGCAGCTAGGAATAACCAACTGATAAAAAACCAACCAACCAACTGACATTGACAAGGATATTGACGGAATAGTTTTCCGAAAAATCATTCTTGTTTTAAATACAAGAACTTTTCAGCTAGGAATAACCAACTGATAAAAAAGGGAAAGAAATAAACCATATGCGCAATTCTAGGTAGTCGTTTGGGACATTCGTACACTTAAAAAATAAAAAACATACAAAAAACAAACGATTTCAAATTTGATAATGGGCTTTACTTCTTAGTTTTTCCGAACTCTCTATTGTGAATAAATTTTGATTTCGTCGATTTTAGTTATCTTGAGAATAATGTCGTAACTGCCGCGGACAAAACGGATGTGGGTTTTGCGGAAGTCAGTTTAAACAATAATTTTGTTATACTTTGTAATGGTATTTTTGATTATATTTAAAGTCGGGTTTCTGTGATTCAAAACCCCGCTCTGGTAGACCACCAAAGCTCACTGAGCGTGAGAAGAGAAGCGTTTTGAAGACTGTTAAAATAAATCCAAGGACAACAGCCTCCCAAATTGGAAAGGATATTAAGGAGAAGTATAATAAGGATCTTCATAACGACACTGTATGTAAAATTTTGAAGAAGGAAGACTATAACAGCCGTACTGCCCGGAGGAAACCACTCATATCACAAGTCAACAAAATCAAACGAATGGAATCCAGAAAATTCAATAACAAGCCCCAGGAGTTCTGGAAAAAAGTGATTTTTAGTGACGAAAGCAAGTTTTGCATATTCGGGATAAAGGGTCGTACGACGGTGTGGAGAAAAACTGGTACAGCCCTCGAAATCCAAAACCTTGTCCCAACCGTTAAGCACGGTGGTGGTGGCGTTATGGTTTGGGGATGTATGGCGGCCAGTGGAGTTGGAAATCTTGCTTTCATTGAATCCACAATGGATCACAAGATGTATATCAACATCCTAAAAGAAAATTTACATCAAAGCGCCGCGAAACTGGGACTGGAGGATGACTTTTGGTTCCAACAGGACAACGACCCGAAGCATTGTGCCATGAATACGAAACTTTGGTTGCTTTATAATGTGAAGAATCAGTTAAATTCGCCACCGCAGTCCCCAGATCTCAATCCAATTGAGCATTTGTGGGACCTCCTGGAGCGCAGGATCCGCCAGCACACCATTACATCAAAGGACATCCTAAAACAAGTGATGGTCGAGGAGTGGAATAAAATATCGGTGGAGGACACAACAAAATTGGTCCAGTCAATGCCAAATCGGTTGGCTGAAGTCCTAAAACGAAAGGGGTATCCGACCTCATATTGAATTCCAGTCCTTTTGCCAAAAACATGGAGTTTTCTTATGATTTTTGATTTTGTACGCATACTTTTTCTGATGCGAAATCAGACCATTTTGTAAATTTTAATTTATATAAGGAAAAATATAAGTGTTAAAAAATTAAGAGTTTCATCAAAGGAAAGGTGAATAAAGGTACTATCTGTAAAAATTAAAATGAAATTTTAAATATTATAATTATTATTATTAATAACTCTAAAGTTTCCAGAAATTTTTGTACGCATACTTTTTCTGACAAGTGTACATACACCTTACCCCTTAGCACTAAGCCGCTTTATATTGATGCACATAAGAAACGTACGCTAAATGTGGCACCCTCGTTATGCAAACGTATTGTATTTACTAATATTTAATAAAACATACAAAAATACATTGAGACGGATGTATGTACAAACGTATATGAATCTAGGAGCATGTTTTCTTCCATCAATAATGAAAAATCCAGAATATTGCGTGTGTATGTACGTTCATATATATGTATAAAAAGCGAAACTCGCTTTGCAAAGAACAATGAAACATACACAACTATTTTGATTACATACCCATTTTAAGAAGTAATTATGAAAAACTTTCGATTATAAACAAATAGTAAGTGTAAGATTAATTAAATAAAAGGCGTACAACAATGTTATGCACAAGCAGCTGTTTACGTTCACTGAACTGGTTCTGAATAGAGCTGTGAAAACATCGATGGTACCATCGATATTATCAGTGGAGAGCCTTTCGGCGGCACTATCAATGCTTAAGCCTAGTACTCAGATCGACGAAAACCGCGAGCTAACCATAGGAGTGAGCGAGAGGCAAATACGCGGCTAACGCTTTTCGTCGGGTCTGTTTTTCAGCGCGGTACTCAGATAAGCTAAGGAAATACCAGAAAAATTTCAGATTTCGCGAGTGAATTTTCGACGAACGCCGTTAGCCGCGGCCCAAATAATAAGAAATTTAATCTTTGGCGGTGTTCGTGCAAAGGCCAAATGGAAACTAAAAATTAAAAATGGAAGGAAAACACACAAAATCGGAAGCAGGAGGTCAGTGCAGATTACATAGGACGCCAAATCCAAGCTTATGCCCTTTATTTTGGGATTTCACGGACAGGAAGAAATTCCGCAAAAGGGGCAAATTCGCAGAACAGTTGAAGAGATGGAGGAGATCCACTAGAGAAACCCAGTGGGAAGCAACATGCCGAGTGGAACTTCGATCTCTATATGGACATCCTGCCGGGCGCGTCCTCGCAAAGAAAGTAAGATCTGGCCAAAAGAATTTGGTCGCGTTGTACTATTAGAAGTATCTTTTTAGCAGAACCACCAGTAATACGATCTCCGACGACCTCTCCATTAGGACTACGGACACCACCATCACCAGCTACATGGCAGCTTAAGCGGAGCTGGGGGACCCGCTGGCTTCTATAGGGAGGAGGACAATAGGGCTCCCGCTAAGGAACAGTTGGAGAAGCCAAAGCCAGCCACTGCCAGGATGCTGGGCGACTTTCTGCAGCGTCAGCGGATCAACCCCGATCTCCCACTTCCTCAAGGTCCAATATGCCTATTGGGACTCGGAGCTGTAATGCGGTGGAGCGGCAAAGATGGCGAAGCATCCGTGGGACGAGAAGGAAGCCTTAAACTTCTAATTTACATAAACAAAAACATTCGTTGAACATTTCATTTATTTTTATTTTGTGCATCAGCAGGCTCTTTTTTTTTAAATGGCTCCAATTGAGTTTTTTTCCGTGTGGCAAAAAGCTCAGCTGCTTGACAGTAAGACCATGCCCCATGCATTGCGGGTGAACTTTTGAAAACTTCGGTTACACTACAAAGAATAATATTTTTCGACTAGTGAAACTCTTTGCCGATCTGAGTACTAGGCTTTATCAACTATCACGATACTATAATGCAGCTTACACCCCCTTCGCATACAGTCTATCCGTTGGAAGCAGTTGGGTTTTTTGAGAAACGTGAATTTCCGAATCCCACATCTTTCATCTTTAAGCCTAGTACTCAGATCGACGAAAACCGCGAGGTAACCATAGGAGTGAGCGAGAGGCAAATACGCGGCTAACGCTTTTCGTCGGGTCTGTTTTTCAGCGCGGCACTCAGATGAGCTAAGGAAATACCAAAAAAAAAATACCAGATTTCGCGACTGAATTTTCGATGAACGCCGTTAGCCACGGCCCAAAGAATAAAGCCTAGTACTCAGATCGGCTAAGAGTTTCACTAGTCGAAAAATCTTATTCTTTGTAGTGTGACCGAAGTTTTCAAAGCTCACCCGCAATGCATGTGGCATGGTCTTACTGTCAAGCAGCTGGGCTTGTTGCCAAACGGAAAACAAATCAATTGGAGCAATTTAAAAAAGAAGAGTCTGCTGGTGCACAAAATAAAAATAATTGAAATGTTCAACGAAAGTTTTTATTTATGTAAATTAGAAGTTTAAGGCTTCCTTCTCGTCCCACGGATGCTTCGCCATCTCTCCCGCGCCATCTGTAGTCCAGCTCCAAGTCCCAATAGGCAATAATGGCGGGTGATGGCTCCTCCAGCTGTCCCTAAGCGGCCGACCTTATATTTTTTGGAGGTGGAGTCTTCAGTGGAGAGCTGGTCGGAGATCGAGCGGTGTTCCATGTTCCTTTCCACTGGGATTCTCTTGTGGATCTCCTTCAGCACTTCAACTATTTTGCGGATTTGCCCTGTTGTGGTATTGCTTCCCGTCGGTCAAGTCCCACAATAATGGGCAACAGTTTGGATTAGGCGTCCTTTTTCACCTGCACTGATCTCCTTTAGCCGTTTTTTGTGTTTTTCTTCCATTTTTCATTTTTAAATTCCCCACCACTTCTGCACGAATAGCGCCAAAGATTGAATTTCTTATTCTTTGGGTCGCGGCTAACGGCGTTCATCGAAAATTCACTCGCGAAATCTTGTATTTTTTCTGGTATTTCCTTACCTCATCTGAGTGCCGCGCTGAAAAACAGACCCGACGAAAAGCGTTAGCCGCGTATTTGTCTCTCGCTCACTCCTATGGTTAGCTCGCGGTTTTCGTCGATGTGAGTACTAGGCTTAAGAAATTTAATCTTTGGCGGTGTTGGTGAAAAGGCGATGTGGAAACTAAAAATTAAAAATGGAAGGAAACCCACAAAATCGGATGCAGGAGGTCAGTGCAGATGAAATAGGACGCCAAATCCAAGCTTATGCCCTTTATTGTGGGATTTCACCGACAGGAAGCAATTCCACAAAAGGGGCAAATTCGCAGAATAGTAGAAGTGCTGGAGGAGATCCACTGGAGAAACCCAGTGGGAAGGAACATGCCGAGTAGGACTTCGATCTCTACATGGACATCCGGCCGGGCGCAACCTCGCAAAGAAAGTAAGATCTGGCCAAAAGAATTTCGTTGTGACCTCTCCATTAGCACTCCGGACACCACCGTCACCAGCAACTTGGCAGCTTAACCGGAGCTGGAGGTCCCGCTGGCTTCTATAGGGAGGAGGAAAATAGGGCGCCCGCTAAGGAACAGTTGGGGAAGCCATAGCCAGCCACTGCCAGGATGCTGGGCGACTTCCTGCAGCATCAGCGGATCAACCCCGCTCTCCCACTTCCTCAAGGTGCAATATGCCTATTGGGACTCTGAGCTATACTGCGGTGGAGCGGGAAAGATGGCGAAGCATCCGTGGGACAAGAGGAAGCATTAAACTACTAATTTACATAAATGAAAACATTCCTTGAACACTCCATTCATTTTGATTTAAATTTCTTTGTGTACCAGCAGACTCCTCCTTTTAAAATTTTACCAATTGATTTGTTTTCCGTTTGGCAACAAAACCAGCTGCTTGACAGTAAGACCATGCTACATGCATTGCGGGTGAACTTTGAAAGCTTCGGTCCCACTACAAAGAATAAGATTTTTCGACTAGTGAAACTCTTAGCCGATCTGAGTACTAGGCTTTAAGGGGCTGATCTGAACAGCTGCGGCTATTCAAAATTTACCTGTTGTTTCGGCGCCTTCCAATTTCAAATGTTCTTTGTCACCATTGCTTACGTTTTTTAATTGGTGAATGGATCTCTGTGGGAAGAGGGTAATAACGGAAAACGATTACTGTTTCATAATATTTTTTTTCTTCTGGAATGCGCATGGTAAGAACATTTTTATCTGGGCATTGCGCTTTTTCCAAATTACAATTATTCTTTATTAAATACTAGTGGTACCTGGTGATTAATTTATGGAAGCAATGGAAGGGAATGAAGACTGTAATATACTCAATAAAATATGTTTTTGTCCCCTACTTGTTCTCCCGGGAGGTAGCCGTAAGAGCAAGAGCCAAAAAGGCGGCTAACGCTTTTCGTCGGGTCCGTTTATCACCACGTTACTCAGATAAGCTAGGGAAATAGCATTAAAAGTACCCGATTTTCTAGTGAATTCCCATGAACGCCTCCAGCCACCGCGCAAAGAACAAGAAATTTAAACTTTGCAGAAGCGGCAGAACACGAAAATTTAAATGGATGATACATACAAAAAATCGCCTGCAGAGGCAGGCAGTGCATTTCAATTTCGCCTTGCTGCTTGCATATCTCCATTTCCCATTGGTCCCTTTAGCTGAGTATCGGGTACCTATTAGTCGAGGTACTCGACTATAGCGTTCTTCCTTGTTAATTTTTAGTTTCCAAATCGCCTTTGCGCCGCGGCTAACGGCGTTCATCGAAATTCACTCGCTAAATATGGTATTTTTTCTGGTGTTTCCTCAGCTCATCTTTGTATCGGGCTGAAAAACAGACACGACGAAAAGCGTTAGCCGCCTCCTCGCTTATGGTTAGCTCGCGGTTTTCGTATATGTGAGTACTAGGCTTTAATAACTTTTGAATTTCTGAAGGAATATCTCCAATATATAAATTAATCTGGTTGATGGGCGCGGCCTGAGGTGGTCCTCAATGGCCGCACTGTCAAGGGTGGACTTCTTCGATGAGCCCACACGTATGTGCGGGAGAAACAATACGCGATATGTGTGTGGCCAAGGGTGGTCCTCTTCTTTACTGTCAAGGGTGGTCTTCTTCGATGAGCTCGCTTGTAGGCGCGGAGGAAGCGGTCGCTTCTGGGAGCGCCCGTTATAGCTGAGTGGCGGCCAGTTGCCTCCCGTAGGTGCGGGGGGATGCGTTGTACCCACGCGTGAATATGAGCCGCTGGAGGCTGCTGCTTGTAATGTTCTCCCGTGAACGCGGGAGGAATATAGTTGCTGCTGGTCGCACCTGCCGAAGCCCGCTCGGTAGTGCGGGGGGAGGAGGGAGCCTTGACCTGGTTCTCGTGTGTAGAGATCGGGGATCCCTCTCTGGAGTCAGAGCCGGATGGCTGCACCTTCACAATTGCTGATTAGGATGACTTACGTTGGGAGGTAACTGCCCCCTTCGCCTGCTGGCCTAGAGACTCAGTCAGTGCAAAATAATAAGAGATATTTAACGGCGGTTGCCGGAGTTTTGCAATGCTATAGAACTTGTGTTCTTTATTCTTATAGATTTTGAAGCGAACTAAACTTAAAGTTGACAAAATTGAAACTCATAGCGGCCACGCAAATATGCTGTGTTTGCCGGCTATGCACGAGCATCCGGCCAAATGCCGCGTCAGCGGTTTTGGCCGCAGCTGGGCTTCGGACATTCGGTCATCGCCTCCGTCCGGTTAGCTACTTAGTTAACTACTCCCCCCTCAAGATTGAGGCCGCCCTCGGCCGACCCTATTTCAGCGATCACCCTTCTTAGTTTTACCGCAGATCTTCTGGCACCGGTGAGTCGCATGTAGGTTAGGCCGACACAAATCAATGCGCAACATATTACTCCTGTAATTAGCGCTACCATGTGTGTCTGATTGGTATTGATTTTATTTCCGAACTTCTGAATGTATTCCAGGTTACGTTCACTCAAGCGGTGAAGGTAGGGGAGGCTCAGAGTATTTTGACTGATGGTGATGTTCAGTGAGGGTGAGCTTGCCACCCCCGGAGTCCTCTTCTGGGCGGAGTTTTGGTTCAAAACCAGGGTTTCGTTTACTGTGACGCGCTCACTAAAGGTGACGAGATGCGTCCCATGTATCCAGACGCTTGTTCCGTTGTCTACTCGTACCTGCGCTGATTGATCATTGATGATCATAATCTCATCACCTCATCGACATAAGTGATCGGATGTAAATCGCTTGGTTGGGTCTCGCAGTGCGCAACTCCACCTGCATGGAGTTCTCGGGCGCATGTGGTCTTCGCTGATAGTCGGCAGAAAGTGACTCCTGGTGTTGTGGAGCAATTCTGGATCGCATACATTTCCCCATTGCATTCTGCTATTATATTATCCACTAACCTTAGCATCACATTATTATGTGCTACCGGGAACATTGTAATCTTCTTACATGCTAATTTAATTTTGGGGAACTTAATAAGGAAGTGCAATATGTTAACAGACTGGAGAATTTTCACGGACGCTACGGACAAAATATC